TTAAGCTGACAGCTTCGTGTTCTTAATAACCAACCAACCAGGTCCAATCTTCCTGATACAGTGGTTGGACCACTTACTGTTGGCTGACCCTACATTTAGCAGACAAAACAGCTATAACAGGCTCAAAGAATCATAGCATACTTAGGGCACCAACAGGAATGCTTCGGTCGCACGGTCGAACAGCTTCAGACTCCGATTATTGTGTCTCCACCCATTGAACAGTGTGTCCATTCAGAACAGCTTTAAAAGGTTTTGCTTTTGGACGTGGACAGATCGTGTGCCTTAACTCAGTGTACAGTTTGATGAGGGTCACAATACCTGACTGCCGTCTGGTGATGTTGATTATGCATATACTACTGGTTGTACAGCAAATTGTTTTTTTGTTTTTTTGTCAGGCTTGTTTTCTTAAACAGTTCTGCAATCTGATTTCCCCATATGGCTGCTGTCAAAATGAGTTATATATGGCAATGAGCTTGTTTTAATATTGTCATAGTTGACTGCAGAGACAGGTAACATATCATTTTCCCACCTCTTAAATCTTTATTCTTATTTTTTTTTTCTTCTTGCAGTAATCTGTTGATTGTCAACAGTCCAAATAAATCAGGCATTCCATGTTAACATTCAGTGTGTCACATGACAGATAGATCAAACATTAAAGTGTGCAACATAGAAGTTTTCGAAAATAGATAATTATTCAGGCATGGAAAATATTCTTGTGTATGTATGTATATATACAGCCATAAGGAACGCTATATTTTGCAGACATGCAAACCTTTGTTTGGCTCAGCGAAGTGTCCGCTCAATAATGCATGTGATCACACTGCTTTGTCTTGTTTTCATGTCATTGTCACAAGCTTTTGGATTAATCTGGCAATCGTTTGACAGCAGTGAGCCTATTATGCCACATACACTGTTGAGAGAGCTACAGAGAACAGGCGTCGAAAGGTTTGCGACTGAGGAAAGATTGAATAGATGACGCATTTCAGACCTTTCAAGTTAATGTGAGCATTTAGAAATGATTACATTTGGTATTCTTGTCTTTCAGAAACAGCTCGCGATATGCGTCACAGCCATTTCGATTCCATCTGACTTGTAGCTTACAGCTTGCTAGGCTATGTTTTTAGCATCTTATACCACGGTCACTACCTGATCTGTATGTCCTGCCTGATCAGTACTCTGCATGTGCAACTCTCAACAGAGATCAGAAGGAAGCATATATGTGTGAGACATTGATAAACACACTAGTAGTTCATATATTTTTAGATACAGATTTATGTATGGGATTGTATCAGCCCCTAAAAGTTGAGATATTTATTTGATTGATCTTTGAATCCTCCCAGAAACTGGGGAAAGGCTTCTCCAAAAGGGACACTGTCTGCCTTGTCACACATATCTTGGAAATATTGATCACAGTTTAACCAAACAGGGACTGGATGTTCACAGACAGTGTTACATACAATAAAGCAAAGATTTCATCAATAGGCCTGCCTTTGTCCATCTTTGAAATGTATACACTTGAACACACAAATTATAGTTGGAAATTTAATAGAAATGAAATATCCAAGATGTTAAAAGTCTTACTCAATAAGTGTATCCCTACCCCTAACTTGAACATATTTCAGGCACAGAGATATTCCTTGCTTTAAGCCCTGCCTGTTGTTTTTCAGGAATGGCCTCCCACGCTGAGTACAGTATGTCATACAGTAGATAACTGTCATGTGAAAAAAAAAACCTCTGTGAGTAGGCATTGCCAGTGCCCAACAGAACCAAATCACCGCTCGGCACAGAGGATATTGTAGTTTGGTGTGGACAAAGAGACGCAGAGAAGGAGATTAAAAGAAGTGACAGAACAAGAACTGCAGAAGAGAAAGAGAGAAATGAAAAGGAGCCGTGTGAGGAATAACAGAAAGAATAATGACAGGAGGGGAAGACGATGAATCATATATATTTAAAAGAGAAGGGCTAAAAAGCAAAAAAAAAAAAACTGAGTGAGACAAATGAATGACAGTGGCTATAAGCGAAAGACCCACAGAGAGGAGGGTATCATTGCCAACATCTGTCACTATAGTCATAATTCTGTCTATCCCCTCACACCACTGAAACACTGAACACTGTCTCACACAGCTCTTAAGGTTTATGTCCTATAGCCTACATTCAGGCTGAATATGTGCTTCTGGTGTGTGCCTGCATGTGTGTGAGTCCTTGTTCACACTCAAAAATTCTATAATTACGAGGTAAATCTATCATTTTAAAGTAAAGACAACAAAGTTCGTTTTAGGGTTAACGTTAGATTTATGAGGACAATTCTGCTAAAGTGAGCCTCCGGGGAATTAGAAGTCAATGCAATGTCCTCACAAGTATGGTGGTACAAGTTTGTATGTGTGGTGGTGTGGTTGTGTGGTGTGTGTGTGTTGGCTCTTGTCTATCAGTATCAGCCCAGCTTGCTGTAGTTACAGCAAGATGCATTAGAGAGCGCGGGGGGGATAATGAACTGTTGGTGGTGGCGGGTGCAAAGGCAGGTGAGTGTGTTTATCTGTACTATGTCATGTACTATACATATGCATTCATCATGTGTGCATCTCATCTTTATGCCTGTAAATACATTTTGACACACCCACAAGAAGCTGTGTCCGTATGTGTCGTTCTGTATGTGTGCACGTGGTCCTGTATATCAGCTCACCGGTGCGTGCATGTGGGCATCCTCTTCAGTGTGCTCCTTCGCCCCTGTCAAATAGCCATTGTGGAGTGTGAGGAATGG